GAGGAGCGGGGAGGCAGAGCCCCCCATTCCGATGGAGCGAAGGAGCCTCCTTATCCTGCTCTTATACTTTCCTTTGCAGGTGCGCACGTTTCTGCAGCTGACCAGGGCGTCCACTGAGTGAAGAAGCCAGCTGGGGAGTTGCCATCGATCCGTCAACTGCCCCATCCACTGCAGGGATATACGCTCAAAGGCTTTGTTTTGGTCGCAGAAGAGGACGGCCGTGCTGGGAGCTGGGCCCAGGGATCGAGCAGCGTCTTGTATGTACTGGTCCACGGCCACCTGGTGCTCGCCTAGCAAGGCTGCCCACATTGGCCCAGGTTCGGTGTCGGGCGCCGGGTACAGGGCAAGGTGGTTCGTGGCAGCTGTGATGTTGGGACCACACTGCCCCCCTCGCTTGGCCGCTTGATTAGGGCTGAGTCTGGGCTCGATCACCGGACCTAGCTGGTCAGCAATGGTCGCGCCGTGCAGTCTCCGCCGGCAGGTGGGGAGCTGCAAGGGTCGCATGTCGTTTGGCATTTCGGCAGCGGCCTTTTTGCCAATCCAGACCAGCAAATCGATGGAAGGGCCTAGGACCAGGTCGATAAGATCCGGGTTCAGGTCAGCAGCATACCAGGCCTGCGCGAGCAGGCAGGCAACGAAGCGGGCCCCAGGGTGGTACAGTTCATACGGTTCCCCATCCACCCCAGGAGCACTACCACTTGGGCCCAGGACGAGAGAGGCAATCCTGCCCACTGCGGGTTGGGGGAGTCCGGGAACTGCCCGAGTTCTTTGTGCCGGAAATATTCGTCGAGAATTCGGTCCGCGGCTGGGGGAAGGGGGGGAGCAGTTTGCCAAATATGGCTACGGCTCCGCCAGAGGACGTCGTCGACTTCCTTCGTACGCTCATTCCATCTCCCATCAGTGTCACGCACACCAAGAAGTTGGTGGGGATACGCGAGGCGTCGAGAATGAAGGGAGGGAGTGGAAGATGAAAATTTGGATCCCGCTGACCACGTCCGCAATGCGTCGGAACATCTGTGAGGAGCCAGGTATGCGGGCTGTCTTGGCCCCCCACACGGCTTGTCTTGGTGCCCGAAAGGCCTGCCTGCAACCCGTTGCGGGACCTCCCGGGCTCTCCTGGAGATCTCTCGAAGCTCTCTGAAGCTCTGCAAGCCCTGATAGAAGAGGATGACGGCGGGAAGAACACGAGAATAAGGACAATTAAGGAAAGAAGAGAAGAAAGATGAATGCGATGAGGGAAGAGCAAGGGAACGGAGGAGGCTCGAAATTCGTTGCCCACACGGCATTCACACGGACGTTCGAAAAGCATGATCGATGGGCGTGCACATATGAGATGAAATAAAATTCATTTTTTGAAGGACAAATCCACGCTGAATTCACTCTTAACGCCAGCGGAACCAACGCGCCGGAAAGGCGAACCCGCGGCAGGGCCCGTGGCGCACGGCCCGTCGGCTCGGCAACTGCAACCGCGCAACGGGCAGGGCGATGCCAGGGGGGGGGGGCGCCAGGCGAAGAGGTAGCTCAGAAGAGGACCAAGTGCAAGTTGCGGGCGTTGCTTGGCGAGATACCCCGCGGTTTGGCATGGCGGGTGATGGGCGGCGAGCGGTCGCGGGCTCTTTGGCGAGGTGTACCTTGTGGGACGCACATAGACATAGTAGTACTATATGTCCTCCTCGGAGGTGCGCGTCCGACCCGAGCATGTAGTAATCTTTTCCCGAGCGGTGTGGCCAGAAAGCGTCCGCCACGACACATATACTATAAGATTTATCGGCGCGCGCGTCGCACCTGGGCGGGAGACGCACACATAATGTAAAGATGTTGGGGGGACGCCGACCGTGGGCCCTCCGAGCGCCTGACGGGCTACAGGCGCTGGAGGTATGGCACTGGGGCCGGGGCGGGCGGGGGCGGGGGGGGGGCACTTCTTGCGGGGACTGGGAAGGCTCTCCCGACTGCGGCTGTCCGCGCGTGGAGCGCGACGAGCCAGCTCCCAGGACCGGGAACTGTGCTAAGGGCGGTGGGTGTGGCGGCTGGGGAGGCGCTGCCTGGACTGCTCGTTGTTGGGCCAGCTTGCGTCGGCGCGTCGCTTGCCTTTTCCCGTCTGGCCCGGGCCACTACCTTTCACCCTTGGCCCGGCCAGATAACTGCCCCATCCTTTGCGCGCGCGCCCCACACCGTCTGCTAGTTCAAGTGGATTCCCCGCGCACGGCACAGCCGTCGGATATCGAAGTCCTCGTCACGCAGCTGGCAAACGATCTCCTCGCAGAAGTGATCCTGTCCGTCTGGGTCATAAGTCATCCCAGGCCGCTCTACTCTTCGGTCGCAGAGAGCTTCCCAGCCGATGGCGAACATGGGCCCGTGTTCCTTCTTCAGCCTATGCACAACTTCTGGCCACGTCTCGACGCGGTTGGCTTGGTAGCTCCATGCGCAGTGCCAGCGCATGCTATTGCGGGGCTCGTTGTAGAGGCGATCGTGGGGGTCCGAGTGTTGGGTGTACGGGACG